TCTGGATGTATAAAAAAAAGCATCGTGAAGTGATTCGAATAATAATTAAAAACGAAAATTTCAAATTTTGGCGAAGGAACATTTCTTAATGGTGGTGGTACATCAGTACATCTCTTTGGATGTAACTGTTAGACACTGCCGTGTCTCTGGATTTGGAAAAAAGCATCGTAAAGTGATTCGAAGCAATAAAAACAAACATTTAAAATTTTGGCGAAGGAATATTTTTTAAATTATGGTGGTGGAACATCACTCACCATTTTATTCAAAAAATCGATGTATGAGAAGTATCACTTGAATTTGATGTGGGTCAAAATTTAGAAGATTTTGCGTTACATACAAACATACAGTGTGACCCACTTCTAATAATGGAAACACCCCTACATCTTACGTAATCGTTGGGTAAGGATTCTGAAATTTGCTGAAGCGAGAGATATACCAAAAATGCACTCTATGACCAAGTGGGGTCATCTTCAGTGATATACGCTGCTCGCCAACAGCCATGGAACCACCCCAATTTCCGGAAAATGATATTAGGAGTCAAAATAGGTTGAAAATCACTTCGGATTTGGAATCAGGTGACCCTGTATATGCGTTTGTTGAAATGTTAATCATAAACCTTAATATTTCTCGATGGAACAAAATTGCAGCTGGCCCCAACACGTGATTTTCTTGGAGCTGCCCTTGGTGGTGCAATGGGATGAAGAAGAGAAAAATTGGAGCAAAGAAAACGTGCACGATTTGAAGCACAACGAAGAAAAGGGCATTTTGACTTTCCGTACAGGAGCTTTCGGGATTTTCGGTTTGGCAGCGCTGAGATACGCGAATTTGCCTTACCAAGCTTGGGAACTGAGACCAGAAGCTGAGTACGTCTGTGCTATGCAAAATATCAAATTTTCGAGTTTATTTTCTATTTTTAGTGATTCCGTTACCGTAAATATCACAGCAACGATTTTAGTTTTGGAATTCAACATAAAGGACGGCTTGATCTGCATATCCCAGCTGCAAAACAGTCCGAATAATGCTTTGCAAGACATGGTCGGGAAATATATCAAGTTTTACAGGCTCAAAAAGGTACCACAAATTCCTGGGTAATTTTGCACTTATCTCATGATAAGTTTTTTTTTCGAAAAGTTTTTTGTTACCTACGTATTTTTGTCTGAAAAACAAGAACTCGATAATAAAAATGTGAACAAACCACTATTTATCGAAATATTTCAAGAAAAAGTTCGAAATGTCGCCTTCTTCTGTCTTAGATGCATTTTACCGCTACTTGCTCTTCTTATTTTGTCATTGGACGCTTTATACAGGGTGTTTCGAAATTCGACCGACAACACTTCACAGATGGTATCTCTCGTGATTTGATGAATAATGAGGTAGGAACATAAAGGTCTAACGTGCTTAGTTATCGAGATACAGGGTGTTGAAACTGAGAAATAAAAATAGTTTTTCCCCAATATCTCAAAAACAGCTGATTTTTTTGCATTCAAATTCGATGAGCGAATCAAACTTCAGAATCTTAATTTCTAGACGTCGGATTCATATTTGACAATTCTTCCAGTGGCGCCATTGAGGGGGTATGATTGCATGATTTTCCAAAAAAACATGTGTTGCGATATGAATTTTGAAAATTTTATATGATTATATCAAAGACCATTCAATTTTGAATTGAAAATGCATACTTGATAGATCTCGATAGAACCCACCATTTCCGAGAAAAAACGAAAAATGTAAATAGTCTTCCAATTACTTCATTTCAAATCGATCAATCAAATGAGAAAAATTCACCCAAAAAACCACAACAGTATTGAAAAAACTCTTGATACGTATTTCGGCAACTGAATTGCCATCCTCAGAAGTCCTGAAAAGTAAAAAATAGTTCGCTGACTGAGATATTCTCCGAAAATAACCTGTGGGACTGAGGACTACTAAGGATGTCTACTTAGTTTCCGAAATACTTATCTATAGTTTTTTCAATATTGTTGTGGTTTTTTGGGTGAATTTTCTTCATCTGATTGATCGATTGGGAATGAAGTGATTGGAATACTATTTACATTTTTCGTTTTTTCTCGAAAATGGTGGGTTCTATCGAGATCCATCAAGTATGCATTTTTAATTCAAAATTGAATGGTCTTTGATATAATCATATAAAATTTCCAAAATTCATATCGCAACACATGTTTTTTTTGGAAAATCATGCAATCATACCCCCTTAATGGCGCCACTGGATCAATTGTCAAATATGAATTCGACGTCTGGAAATGGAGATTCTCAATTTTAATTTGCTCATCGAATTTTAATGAAAAAAAATCAGCTGTTTTTGAGATATTGCGAAAAAACTATTTTTATTTCTCAACTTTAACACCCTGTATCTCGATAACTAAGCACGTCAGAGCCTTATGTTCCTGCCTCATTATTTATTAAATCACGAGAGCTACCACCTGTGAAGCGTTGTCAGTCGAATTTCGAAACACCCTGTATACTCATGATGTACTACAATGACACATTTTTAAATAGAAAATTCGACAGGAAATATGGTTTTTATGGCGAGTTTTCCATATTTAGTAAACAATCATGCCAGATGACGGCCATTTATTAATTACTAATCAATAATCAATCCAAATACAAGATGTCAAATGTCAAAAGATTCCTTTTGAATGACGTACACACGCCATTATTTCTTCCTTCTTTTCACCTACGGTACTATTGATAAATCACAAGAAAATCATATTTCTAGTTGACTTTCATACATAAAAGAAAAGTGTCATTAAAGTACATTGTAATATATAAAAAAAGAAGGGCAAATTGTTCTGAATGCGATCCAAAAGACATGCGGAAAAGAAGGTGAAAGCTGTAACTTTATAGTGGAATATCTCAATAAATAATGGTTTGTTCACATTTTCATTATCAAATTCGTGTTTTCTAGACACAAATACGGAGAAAAAACCATCGCATAATAAGTGCAAAATTACCAATTCCGGTTCTGTGCCAATTTTTCTAGTCCTCTAAATTTATTTTCTTTCAGATGATGAAAGAAGCTGGAATAGACATTTTTCCTGAACCTGACGCTTTCTGTTACATTGAAGGTCCATATAAACAAATAAAATTGAAATTTGACATATAGAGGTTTCAGTTTGTCAAAAAATGTTTGACTTGCATTTTTCATACTTTCAGGTAGCTGTGAGAAAAATTGGTCGATGGAAAAACACCTCTACTACAATATGGCGACGTTGAGTAATTGTTTTAATTTTGCTTGGTCTCGATGGAATCTAGCAGCTGGAAGAAGAAATATAGTTTTGCAATTGAGAGAATACTTTCCCAGTAAACCAAAACAGGTAAAACTCGCCCTGTGTGGAATAATAATTAAATTTCATGCGATTCGGGAATGAACTAATGAATGTATTCCGTTTTCTGAAACCACACTGTACAACTGTGATTTTTGTTTCAGAAAAGCCACTCTATGTTGTTGGTGACACCTTTGAAAGCAACTTTTGTTGATTGTACTGAAGTCAGTCAAGTTTTCAGCGCTGAGGATATAGATTCGTCTTCAAAGGTATTCCGAAAATCATTGAAAATTGACCAAAATAATCCTTTTTTTTTCTCAATTTGTAGTTGAGCTGTGATTTGTACAATCTCATGAAGGCTACCAGTGGAATTGCGATCAGGAAAAAAGTGCAAGATGTTAGAAAAGAGAATATTTTTGTGTTATCTGAACTATTAATTTCTACAAGAGTACTGAGTTTCTCATGAATAGCTAATAAATATTACTCAAACAATTTTGGTGTTTTTTTCCAATAATAATCACCAGAAACTAGTAATAATAGGTTACCTAGGGTAAGTCAATAGTGTGTTCTCCTTCGATATTGGCCAAACCGTCAGATATATAGGAAAAATTTCTGAGAACTATCATCTAAACTTATATTCATATCTATAGGGTCTTCGAATTCCAAGATATTGGCTGATGAGGGGTTTTTTTAAAGAAACAACCTGTATATTATTGTATTTTTAGTTTCTCCCTGACAAGCTGATTTCATCGATGCATCACACTTGGAGTCTAGCGGGAATGATTACAGAGATATAGGGTGTGAAAAATCTAGATTTTTCAACTTTATGATTTTTTTGTGTCGAAACGAATTATTATTGGTCAAAACAGCTTACATGTCTCTATCTCAGCTTTCGATTTACTACTACTACTACTGACATTTAATCGGGACAGATACAGAGTGAACAGAATTCTTGAATTTTGAACCACCCTGTATTTGTTTCAATAAAATGTCATTAGATAGTGAATAAAAGGTTAGCATAGGGACATGTAAGCCGTTTTTACCAATATGAAAAATAGTTTCGGCACAAAAAAAATCCTAAAGTTGAAAAATCTTGATTTTGAACACCCTATATATATATATCTCTGTAATCATTCCCGCTAGACCCCAAGTGTGATGCATTGATGAAATCAGCTCTTCAGGGAGAACCTGAAAATGCAATAATATATAGGGTGTCCCATTTGAGAAAAACCCATCATCAGCCGATATCTTGGAATTCGAACACCCTCTATAGATATGAAAATAATTTTAGGTGATAGTTTTCTCCCTATAACTGTTGAATTCGAATTTTTTTCTATATATCTAACTGTTTGGCTAATATAGAAGGAGGACACACACAATTGACTCACCCTGTATATGAATTTCAGTAGTGCCGTAACAAGAGGGGGATCATATCCGATATAATTCCGCTTTCTCTGCTCAATATATAGATGGCGATGGAAATGTTTTTTATAATATATAAAAATACGATGTAAACTTTAGTAAGACAAATCTTGAAATACCTACTGATAATTTGTCAGTCACTCCAAATTTGGAGTCAACCTGAACTTTTATTGTTTCCTTAAAAACTGAGCAAAGATACAAAAATAACACAAGGGACAAGAAAATCCAGTGGCGTATATTGATATTTTCAACATGTATATATCGATAAGGTAATACACTGTGACTGTGACGCCACTGGGATTATTATTTCGAATCTATTTACACTATGATAAAACATAATATACGTTTACGAGTTTATTTTCAAATCGAAGCTTGAAAGATATAGATAACTAATACAAAACTGGTACATCGTAATCTAGGTAATTCACAGGATACTATCTCATCGTCACCATGTCAACAAATCCACCGCAGGTGGTCGTAAAAAAATCCGGAGAACCCGCAGAGCCGGCAACGCCGCGCTTCCCACCGGTCGCGCACTTTTACTGCGCACCACACACCACGATCGGGGCACGCGGTGCGTTCAATTTCTCCCGTCCCTTTCCCCCCACTCCCAAAAATCATCGTTCGTCCGAAACAACGAATCGTCGCTTGTTTCTCGCAACAAACAAAGGCCCATAAAATTAATTCGCCCATTGCCCATTATCGCCCTGGGTGCGTTAGATGCACGCAGCAGTCTCTCGTATTCCGGGGTGTCGCGAACCTTGTTTTTTGTTTTCCTCCCGGAGCCCAGTACTAGCGTAACCCTGAGAAAATCAACGCGTCTGGTGACTAGTACGCGCACCCAATTGGTCGATAAAGCAGCGAGCGCACGTGATCTCGGTTGGCTTAGAAAGTGTTGCGACTTTAGCTGCTGAGGAGGCACACACTACGCGACCGTACCTCCAAAGAGAAAAATAATCACGGTGGTTCTACACGCGAAACTACCGGGAATTTCATCGCGTACAAGTCGAAAAAAAAATAGTGTCCAGTGGGCAGTGCCCAGTGCGAGCTAAACGTCAAATTGGTCAAGTTCAAGGGCTTCTACGATTGAAAAAGTCGTAGCGTATCGAGCAAAGTGAGTATTCGCCCGTCAATAGTTTGTTGTTTCGTTCAGGCCTACTCGGACTTTCACGGAGCAGTAACAAATCGACATTTTAAAAAGTTTCAGGGAATTGCATTAGGGTGTTTTCTAATTCTAAGCGGGGCATTGCCCGGGTGCCGCGTGACGTTAGCATGTGCGCTAACGCTATTGGTCGGACCAGCAAACACCTCGCTTCTCGCTGCGTTCTTTTGTTTATTTTTATCTGTTGGAATTGTGATAGCGTTTGGCGATTGTTTGAAAGAAGAACGTGCCTTTTGGGGGTTTAGGTTTGTGTCTTTTCTGAAAGGTAAACAAGCTAGAAATCGTGGCTGGAAAGCAATAATAAACTTTGCCGTTATTTCGTGATCGGGGATAGTGACACGTTGTACGCGTATCGACGTGACCGGCGGTGTTGCCGGATCTCGAACGGTCTGCCACTCCTTGAAAATTGATAGTTTTCGATTTTTCTTTGTCCACACTGTCTTCCTTTCGTGATGCAAAAACTAAGTACCTATTTGGGCAACTCATAACTTTCGTTCAGAACTAGAAACTAGAAGACATAAGTAGGTACCAATAAATTTAATAACAATAGAAATTATAAGAAGTATACCTACTAAGCATATAACCTACCTAAATAACCGAATTAACTGTTACCTTTCTTTTTATTTTTCGGTTATAGACACAAGTACATATTATTTACATAATAATTTACTCGAATGTCTATATATTTGGTATACGTGCTAAAAAGAAATCACACCTATTTATATATACAGGGGCATCTCATACCTATACGATAGGCGAGGTCACATTTCATCACGCTGTAATGATTTTATTTTACAAAGATCTATCTTCACCTCGATCTGCACAATTACTTACGATTTACGATTGTTGAGAAAAACTTGATTAATCAAAATTTAATGTAGATTTTCATAGAAAGACAACTCTCGTATGAGGTGGCTCACCCATCCTGTATAGTGTATACCTATCCTACACTGTGACCCACTTATAACGGAACTCCCATAAAATCGACAGCAGAAAGAGCATATAATAGCTCATTATATGCGAGTAGAATACTATACTTTGTCCACGACTACTATTTTGTTTTTAAAATATAAATTTATTTTCAACAACTGTTTTATCATCACTTATGAAAAATGGCTACCGTTTTGATGGAGGAAGTACATGTACAGTCGTGGACAAAATCGCATATACAGGGTGTTATGGTGTTTCTAAATAACACAATTTACCCACTGTCGCGCCGCTGGAAATATTATTTGGAATCTAACTGCACCAGAAGAATCTCCATATTACTATTAACAAAACCACGTTTTATTGAAGTTGATGAAAAGACAATTGAGTAATGAATAAAAAATACGATTTTTCATGGAAATATATTAATACCCTGTATCTCAAAAACGAAGCAGGTTAGGGCACATGTTCATATGAACTTTATTTCCTAAAATATCACAAGGAATAATCGACCCTTGAATTTTTTCGGTGTTATTCAGATACACCCTGTATATCCTGGGAGCAAAGTTTCATTGCCTCCCATGTGTGTTTTAATGCCCTCCGCTACGCCTCAAATTTCATGCGCGGGAGGAAATGAATACCTTTGCTCCCTTGATATATAAATAGCTATTATAATTTTCATTCCTCAACGAGGGTCGAGACGAGGGTAACAAATCAATGATTCCAATGCCCCCCCCCCCACGAATGCGCCAATGTTCTAGCTACGATTTTCTTGTACAGTGCTGCTCAATAAATAAGCAACAATAAATATATGTTTAGTTGGTATACCTAAGTCTCGACCTAAGTAAACATATGTGTGTATGAGCTCATATAGTAATTAAATGAATATCTAGGGAAAATATGGGTTGTCCATGGGCATAAGCTGACCTTTCGAAGAAATCTTCATGAATGTCTTTTACAAGAAAATCTAACCACCTAGTGAACAGTGAACGGCTCTTTTCTCTGTCTCTGTTTAATAAATTATAGTTCATCATATTAATATTTTCCACATATCGATGTTCTGACACCTCTCTCTTTTAATGTATCTACCTCCCACACTTTGTTCAAATCGAGTCCTCTATCAATAAGTATGCTACGATTGCTACGATTATATCGCATGGCAATGCATGCATGGTATATTAACGCCCCGTTGCCAAGCTTCCTAATAAAACTGTAAGAGGACGAGACTCTTTAATCAATTAATCAGGAAGAAACATCTATTTATTATTGCTCTGAAAACATTCAAATCTTAGTAGTGCGATAGTTATAAATGCAAATTGATCAATTATAAATGATCAATTTACGAAAAATACAGGGTGTTTTTTTAATATTGCGCAAAACTTCGGGGTCATATTTTTTTGGATCAGGAATACAAATTTTCATGAGTTTTCGTAGTTGAAATTGACTTAGGTACTCATTTCTGGTTTACTCCGTATAGTAGAACAATGATAATCAATTTCGTGATCGTTAATTTCATTAGGTACTTTCCCGACACGTGAAAATATGCGCACAACGTACAAAGTCGAATGGACATTCGATTGATCGAAAGAATATTGAATAACGGGTGCATACCTGATTATATCGTATAACCCCGTATCGAGCTGTAGGCGTGGCAACTCCGCATCGATGCGTGGTGCGCGAACAGCTATTTTCGTTTTGCGCGCAAAGCAAGCAAACACTCTCTCTCGGTAAACAGGTGTTATGTGTTTGTTCAAGTTCGATTTTTGTCGGACGTTGCCAGATGGAGAGGAAATTTCATCAGAAATCGGAAATATCGAGTTTTGAGTCATATTTTTTATTGTTATTCGAAATTTCTCTAGAAACTGGCGGAATTTTGAGAAATACTGTCTCTGGGATCACGAGGTGGAATAATCATAGTGTAGTAGACGACTTGTCTTAAAATATCACTGCGTTGGAAAAACTATTAGAAAACCTAAGGAAATTACAATCGATTGTTAGGAAGCAATGCTATTGTCTCCGTTAAGAAGAATGCAAGAGGATTCCTTGATTTTTCTCTTTTGGTTGTTATCTTCCTTTCCTATGATTTTAATATTATTCCACTCTGCCATAATGTTGTCCATTTTCAGCAAATATATGTTCAGTTAGCTTTGATTCATCGATATGTCTTTTCTTGATATTGTACTGTGTTCTTTCATCTTTACTGAGACAGGTCTCTGCGTTTAACCTGTATTATACTCTCCACAAACACAAGGTATACTATAAATACAATTTGTTGATGATTGTTCTTCATTTTTCGGTTTTGTTTGAGTTAGAATGGATCTCATTGTATTTTCAGTTTTGAACACTGTTTTCACTTGAAACTTATCACCAACACATTTGAAATAATACTAATATTTTTATTTGATAGAAACGAGGAGAGAAAATCCCAAAAAATCAAGTGAAACCAATCTTGTTGATTTGGAATGAGGTGATTTTTTGCATATGGAGGTATAATGTGAAGTTAGTTTTCTTGTAAAAAAATCTCGAAATAATCCAATTATGATTTCATAAAAGTCCAACAGGATGTTCGTCTCTGAAAAACTAATCATATTGATGGTTGTTGGTTATTCATACCGGTCCAAATTTGGTACGAATCGCACGACTAATAGTTGAGATAGGTACCTATATTTAGGGGAAGCCGTTAGAAATGGGACACGCTGTAGATTATTCGTTAATGTTGAATCTAGTGTTGAGTATTTCCTCATGAAACTTAGTACAGATCTATTTCAGAGGATGCCGATTTCAGTGGTGTACACAGACTTTATCTAAAAACATCGCTAATATGGATTTTGGAATTTTCAGCCTCTGAATGTAATCTAGTAGTCCTTGGTTGTAAAAAAAGTGGACGTCGCTTAGCTCCAGGATATACCTTTTCTCCCTCTACATTTCAGGAAAAAAATTGTGAATATTGCTTCGTAAATGAAAAGGAAGAAAACTTCATATGAATGTATGTCCTAAGTCTCAACTTTTGAGATACAGGGTGATCAATTTATGAAAAATATTCAGTTTCTTGATAATAACTCAGACAATAATGTATTCATCTTCGTGAAATTTGGTACACGTCTTTTATGCATCAAGGTGCATTTTATAATGTACACAAATTATCATTCTCTCTACCAGTGGCACCGTTACGGGAATTTTATTGTTTATTTTTTACTCGAAAGTGAGAGAAATTTTCAAATTTCGTTCAATATGCTATGAGAACGCTTCGTTCCAGAGAAAAAAACGGAAAAACGAGACCAGACTTCAAATTTTGATGTCTGAGTACTCCATTCAGGACATCCATTACTGAATAACCACAGTATGTAACATTTTGAAATTTTCATACCGATTCAGTCTATGAAATCTAATATTTTCGATATTGACACCCTGTATCTCAAAAGCTAGGACGTCACTCTGTATTAAGCCAGTCTTATGGTACGCGCGCTTCCGTGACGTGAGTTTTCCGGTTCACTCCCATCCCAGAAAGTGCCCAACGGGCCTATAGAAGTTATCACTTCAAAAAAAGAAAGGACCGCACGGAATGCTACACTCCACCGTTTTCGATTCTCAGGCCCCCCCCATCCGCAACCCACCCCCCCTCACCCCAAAAACGATGAGTTCTCTGAGCACGCTCCTCGAAGCAGCCAAATTCTTGGAACTCCAGGAGCAGCACCACCAGCAAAGCCGCGAAACCGTCGCAGAAACGCTGGTCACCATGAAACCCGCCCCGCCCGCCCATACACGGTCGCCCCCCGCCCACACTAGGTCACCGCCCACGCCCAGTGACCAACTCCACCCCAAGACAGATGCCGCTTCGCCGCAGACCGTCGTCATCTCTTCCAGCAATAGTATCGGTCATCAGGCCATCATCCAGGGGCCTATCGCTTTCACTTCTACGTCCCCAGCTCAGGTAAGTTTTAATTCATCGAAATGTTCACTAACATTACTCTAACTGTTGAGAAATTATCAAGAAATCATTAAGAAATTATTGAGAAATTATTATTGTTATTGAGAAATCATTGGACATTATTAACAAAGTCATTAAGAAATCACCGAAAATTCTTTGAAAATCTAGAAGTAATTGGTATTGGTAGCCATTCAGAAAATCATTGAGATATTTGAAAATTGAGAAATAATTATTGAGAAGTTATTTATGTTATTGAGAAATCATTAGGACATTATTAGACGTCATCAACAATCATTAAGAAATCACCGAAAATTATTAGAAAATTGAAGAATAATTGCGTCATCATTAAAAAATGATTGAGAAATATGTGAAAAATTATTGGTCGACATTTAGAAAATTATTGAGATATTTGAAAATCAAGAAATTATCCAGTAATTATTGAGAAATTATCGAGGAAGTATTGAGAAATAACCTCGAACACGAAATAAACTAAAAGTAGTTCTTTTAAGAAGTCCAAAACTATGATTGAAAATCATAAGGCCATATCAAGAAATCGTTGTGTAGGTAGTACTGTAGTACCAGAAAACAGAAAATCCTACTGGATATATCCTTGGAATTCATTGGGTAATCACAAGAAATCATTGAATGTGATAAATAACCAGAAATGATGGTGACAGGTAGCCCCAGCAGACCACAAGAAATCATCAAGTTCATAATATTGAAAAATCTATCAGTACTACTAGGGTGTGAAAGGGTGATCTTAGAGAGTCAGGTCATTTAAGAAATGATCATCAAATCATTAGGCAGTTCCAGGAAATTACAAGAAATCATTAGAATGTAACCCATGAAGATAACCCAACGTAGAAAGCTTACTCAATGTAGAAAGCTTACTCAACGTAGAGAGCTAACCCAATGTAGAGAGCTAACTCAACGTAGAGATCAAACTTGATGTAGGAAGCTAACCCATCGTAAAATCAAACCCAACCTCGCTAAAAGTGAAAAATCGAACTAGGAGGTTGAAACTCGGTACACAGGGTGAATGGGGTACGGTTGGTACGGTACGGGTACAGGTACGGTGAACACGAATTTGAAGATCGAAGATCGGACGAGCGGTTCGCTACTTTCTGAGCCGTTGAAGATAGAACGAAAATCTAAGATTTTTTTCGAGTAAATCGATTTTAAAATATGGTACTAGATCTGGTCACCTATCCATTGGTTGGGTTAGGAGATATGTTACTCGATCTGGTAACCTATATAGTGGTTGGTTAGGAGATATGTTACTAGATCTAGTAACCAATCCAGTGGTTGGGTTTGATGGTGTAGTAACCTATTCTGAGATATGTTACTAGATCTGGTAACCTGCTATCCAGTGGTTGGATTTGATGATATGTCACTATATTTAGTAACCTATCGGAAGATATGTTTTCAGATCTGGTAACATATCCAGTGGTTGGATTTGATGATATATCACTAGATCTAGTAACCTATTCTAAGATAATATGTTACTATATCTGGTAACCTATCCAGTGGTTGGATTTGATGATATGTCACTAAATCTAGTAACCTATCCGAAGATGTATATACAGACAAGCTAGTGGTAGAATGGTAAGTTGTATGAACAGACCTTGGCTTATTGAAGATGGTTCGAATACTTTTTTTCTGGATTAAAAAGAGATTTTTGAAGACGGGGGAGGTTCCCCACAGAATTATGTCATATATTAGACGTGATTGTATTTCGGCAAAGTAAAACATCCGGAGACTATTTCCTTTGCAGTTCGCGAAGAAAATCGAACAAGACATGCAAGTCTCCAGTACTACGACCGTCTCCCAACAGTTACCCCGACGCATCCTCCACAACAGCTTTGACATCCGCAACCCCCTAGTGGTCGACGAGTCAGCCGGCTGCGACAGCAACAAACGGAAACAACCCCCGATGGTGTTCAGGGCTGGCACCAGAGAGGTGCACAACAAGCTCGAGAAGCACCGCAGGGCGCACCTCAAGGAGTGCTTCGATGTGCTCAAGAAACAGCTGCCCGCGTCTCAGGACGAGAAGAAGACTTCCAACTTGAGTATTCTTCATTCAGCTCTACGGTGAGTTGGTGGTCGGCTTTCTTGGCCTTGAGTAAATGTACTTGACACTGCTGTTTTGACGTTTTTTGGATACTAGACAAGCAGTGACAATCAGACATAACCACAAACTATTTTGAAGCAGATCATATGTTTTGTCAGACAATGACAAGAATATGTTTTTCGTTATTCATAGGTATTTTGTAATAATTAGCCCCTCCTAGTAACACAAACACTGGAAAAAATATTGAATGAAAATATTTCTGGCAGAGTTTTGGAAAAAATTGGTGTACTCAAATGAGTACGATGGGAAGGGTGCATAGGAAAAAACTCAAAATTTTGTGTAATACAAGAAAGTGTTTAATATTTTAAAATTGCATCACAGTCCAGTTGGGTATTGCCAGAGAAGTGAATGTACCTTTTTCTTTCTTGAAATTCATTTCTAGACATACTGGAATCAACGAATGGTACCGAAACTTCACGGTTCAATATCAATGGAGAAGTTAGATATACCAATATCGTTTTCGTCCAATTCTTCTTCATCTCGTTGACTGTCTACCTCAGATGAAATAATAATTATTTCAGGCTCACGGTTTGAAGAAAGAACATCATCCATTCCTTCTTATAATGTTTTGAAACCTTTGCCATAAGTCAGGATGGTATAAGCAGCTGGAATACATTTACCCGGTCAGTTAATTCACCGTGCCAACGGACGCAGTGCAAAAAGTAACTCTTGAAAACAAGAGATGAGTCAGTACTTGTTTACACAATCTCTTTAATTGATATATGATCGGTATTTACGCCATTTGTCAGTACATCTCAGAATTAAGAGTTTCTTGTATATTGCAGAATACTACCACAACATTATTTTGTTGAAAAATTCCAATAGATGTGGATAGTAGATCATAATTTGCAGTGTACTCAAATGAGTACAGTGGGTTAATACAGTCAATCCCCCTTTTCCTCAGGTACATCCAGACATTGAAAAGGAAAGAACGCGAACTGGAACACGAAATGGAACGCCTGGCCCGCGAGAAAATCACCTCCCAACAGCGCCTGGCCGTCCTCAAAAAGGAGATCTCCTCCCGTTACGACAACGTCGACTTTTCGAAACTGCTGCCCGAAATGGCGTCCCCCAGTCCCAGCTCGAGCCTTTCTCATCACGAGAGTGCCTCGGCTGGCGAGTTCAACGAGGGCGTATGCGTGGGCGTGGGTGTGGGCGTGGACATGGGCGTGGGCGTGCCCAGTGGGCCCGTCATCGACAAGGTGGCCATTCCGATACTGGCCAAAGCGGGCATGCCGATGGTCAAGCACCATCTCACCACCTTGAAGGAGGTCAGTGGGCATTCATTCATTTATTCAATTACTAAATTATTGAAAACATATAGTATTTGAATGAATTGCATGTCAAATCAAATAGAATGTGTATTCATCTTTTATTGGTGAACCTAGACCAATATTGATTAAAATTATAAAGTTAATCTAATATACCTACATACAGGGTGTTTCAAAAAAACCTAGCCTTCTTGCTAGGGTAAGTAGAAAATTGCAAAATGAGTTGGGTTTGCTTTGTAAAAAAATGTCGTAACGGTAACGCCATCCGTTTTCAAGATACAGGTGTTGAAAAAATATTTTTTTTACACATTTTTTACAATTATGTTGAAACTACTGGCAACATTGTAATGAAATTTTGTATGGATGTGTTTTGAAAGCTGACACATCGTGTGAATTTGTTTTTATATCTGACACTCATAGAGGGCGCTAGTTACATAGTTCGTACCGAGTACTTTTAAACATTACTTTTTGAGGTTAGATTTTTCACTCCAAATTCAATGTGAACTTGAACACCATTAAATTTTACTTCGAAAGGATGCTCTTGGTAAAACTCGATACTGTGTACCGTTTTCGAGAATTATGGGAAGATATTCAGAACAGAGTGGTATTTTGCTCGACAATTTCACGCTCAGGAAGCATAAAAAGCATTTATTATGAATGAGTGATTCCTTCTGACAAGTACAGCCATGTTTATTTTATGCCAAACGCCAAACTGACAGACTTTGCTATCCATGGTTACATCGTTGAAAACATCAACGCTGTATTGTGTATGTGATAATGAAATAGTCTTTCCAATTTTTCAATTCATGGCCATCCAAAACTAACTCAATTTGATTGATTGACTTCCAGTCAGTCTATTTTTGACTAAAAAGGGGATGCACCATCGCTAATAGTTCATAATCAACAAATTCCCCAAATAAAAAAAACCTTTTTCTGCAACCGACACAAAAGTCGTCCATTTTGATACCAAAATTAGCTCTTAAATTGACGTTTCTATTACTGACACAAAAATAGGTATGTTGCTAGGCAACATATTTAGTTCCTAAGAGCTAAAGTTGAATTTTAGTTCCTAGGAGCTAAAGTTGAACTTTAGCTCCTAGGAACTAAAAAGGATATACTGGACGTCATCAAGAATAAACAAAATTGTGACGGTTGGTTATTTGGGTTGAGACGCATACCTGATTTGTTTCCGATTTCAGCAGATTTGGCATTTCATACCCATGCTGGAGATATAAATACACCTTATTATAGTTTAGTATTGGAATTATAAACATCTCAGTTAAGTATTTTTGTTTTGATAAGGGAAGCCTTCAAGATTCAAATACTTGCTTGATCTGTATTTCATTCGTTATTCTCGGGATGGATAACTTGTTTTTGAATAATCACGGCAAGCAATAGTTTTTTTGTCTCAAACAACGATATTGTTTAGCTTCATTTGATTATCAAGAAAAACAGTGTAGTATGGAGAGGAATAAATAATCAGTAATCACTATTATCATTGTTGATATGCTCACTAACCTAACATTTTCCACGTCTTGTTCCTATAGCTGGCACTGGCGCGGTATTTGCCATTAGAGCACCTGGTCCATACACAAATATGTCACTCTGTGGTTGTATTTATATTGAAACTACAATTCGAACATCCTAGAAAACCTAACCTGCTGTTAATGCAGGTAGAATGTTCTCACTACACGGATTATTTGTCAATATTTGTTGCATTGCATACATATGGCACGGCATTGGTGGTTACTTCACATGTTTATTTGAGTTAATTGTTTCGGTTGCAGAAAAAATAGCATGTTTCATTCGGATCAAAAGTGAATTTGTTCGACTCGCAAATTTTGCTTTCGCTCGGCTTCGCTAATCGCTCCGCCTCGCAAATGCAAAATTCGCTTGTCAAACAAAGTGTCACTTTTGATCCTAATAAAACAATCTACTATTCCATTTTCCAGGTACCGCAACAAGTCCAAACCACCTCCCTCTCGGTCCTCCCGATGTCGTACCCCGTCAACCAAGGCCTCGTCCTCCAAAAGGTCCTCGTGCCCAAAGGCCTCGACGGCCTCGCGCCCCTCGTCTCCACGCACTTCATCGCCGCCCCCCATCACCCCCACCAACAGATCAACGGCAAGGTGGTACCCCTCGCGCAGTACCTCGTCAAGCCGGTGGTGGTGGTCAGTACCGCTTCGCCGAGGCCGAGCTAGTGGTGAAATGCTGGGGGAATTACAGGGGGAAGGGGGTAAAGGTGAGAAGAAGAAGAGGGTACTTGCGAAAGGTTCAGAATGATGAATTCGCGGTCGCCAAGGTCATTTGATGACGTAGCAATTACATTAAAAACTACGGGAAACCATGTCTAACTTTCAATCTATGCCGAGTTAGAATGTTTTCCGGTAGTTTAAAATGTCATCGCAACGGCATCTTATGATTATGGCGACCGCGAATAGAGCAGTACAGCAATCGTTGAGAGAGAGAAAAAATGTCTTCCCTAAGCTATGGTCGTTTATTGTGTTGCTAAAGTTGATTTTGTTCCCATAGTTGCCTCTATTCATGGCATAATGTAAACTAGAGTCACTGGATGGTATTAGTTTGATAAGAGTTCGGACACAGCTGAACTTTTGTCCTTTTCTATTTTCTATAATATAATGGTTTGAGTGAATAAAAGAATAGGACATATATTTTGCTCTTTGTCTCTTCAATTTCCCTAGTAGCGCCTGATTGTCAGATACGATTTTAGAGGTTATATTTTCTGTCAAATCAATCATAGCCGTAGATGGACAATGAATAGGGTACAAACACCCACTTTCTAGCAGAACAACTGTTATATAAATGGAAAGAATGCATGTAACAACATTTTAATACCTACTAGAAAATATACACATATGGATAAACGTATAGCTATAATTCCTTATTGTATGTGAAACTGTACTCCAGTGATAAGTATTAAACATTAATATTAAATTAAAGGTAGGTATTTTCAATATACAGAAAGTAACATGAGTATACGTTGAAGTGAAGTATTCCTGAGACAATTTTAAGAAATTTTGACGAGACCTAGCACATACTTTGTTTTGTGAAGTTCTCAGCAACTTCACTTAGCGTCCTATAGGAGCTAAGTAAACATGGATCGATATAGAAAATATCTCCAAAACGATAACTTCCTGCGCTATTAAGGCCCTTATAATAATTTCCACGATACATAAATAACTATTCACTTTTCACTATTAAATTTTGGATTTGGTCGGTACCAAAAACGCCATTCAATAATATATTACGTTGTACTTTACTCGCTTTTCTTTGTTTCGTTTTCAAGTTTTCAATTTCATTATGTAATTTTGCGATCAATTCCTATTTTTCCATAATTATTTTGTTTTGTATTTTGTGTGATGATAATAATGGAATTTTGTTCTTGAAATCGTCTGCTTTGTAAATTGAAGGAACAGCAGATTCTCTCAAACAGATTTTGAAAATGGGCATAAAATATAGTTTCATTCTAATCAGATGCTGTTATAATAAGTGAATTTTAATGAGTACCTCACACATTTTGCTCGTCTTTAAAATGATTTTCCACCCAGGGGGTCTATTCTCGAACCGTTCGAATACAATTCGTATACGAATGAACAAAGATGCACTTTAGTATGTGACGTATGTTAAAGTGAAATAGAAGATCGAATTCGTATACGAATAACGCTCGAGAATAGACCCCCAGGCCGTTTCATATCTTCCTTCCATAACTGTTTTTCTGACGTTTATAAAATTTATTGTCAAATTCAAACAATTTTTAATGAAAAAGCGCGGGACGACTATGGTGCTCTTGTCACAATGCAAGGTGTGTAACTTAATAAATCGAAACATTCAAAAACCCTAACCGTTGTCATTTCTGTGTCCGAACTCTTATCAAACTAATACTAATACCATCCAGTGACTCTAATGTAAAAATGAGAAAGTCATAGAGAAAAATCAAGTTTAGCAGGTAGAGCAAACTCAAACGAACAAGCCTCTATAGAGTAAAGAGTGACTGGATTAAATAGAGTGGCAACAATATACCTCCAAATGGCTGCCGTTTCCGGAATGGAATTCGTGATCAAGTCACTGAAAAGCTTAAAAAACCGAAGGGTATCTCCACTGTAGTTATGTATTTGCGCCTTCGAAGTGCCCACCTGATTTTAGGTTTAGATATTTGATGTTCTCATTTGATCATCTGAAGAATCTGAGCCTTACCAATCCCAAAAGATGGCTTCTTATAGTTAATATGCAAGGTATAGAGTTTCATGTCTGATTGTGGGCTGGCTGATTTGTGTCCGAAGAGAAAAAAATCATAAAAAAGTATTCACAAACTGAAATAGAATGCGTAGAACTGAATGTAGAAAAAATATATTATAAAGATATATTGAAGGTCTGACCAATCAAAAAGTATAACACTATTGTCGCCACTCTATGTATAAAGTCACTCTAGTCTCTCCCATCGGTCGTTGTCTTCAGTGTTCCAACGTAAAATGATGGAAATGTTTTGTTGGTAACATTGGAAATGGGAAAAAATGGAGAATAAGATCATATTAACCTCAATATAAATTAGGTTAGAATGGTCTACTCCATTTCTTCTCATTTCCAGTGTTGCCCTCATAAAATTTTCATTATTTGATGTTGGAGCACTGAAGACAAGGTCAGATGGGAAAGACATTTTTGTTCTCTATCAACGCTGACTGAACTGCTTCATTTCTAGATGTTTTATGAGTGAATTTGTTTGTTTTCTGCGATTCCTGTTGGAGGTAGAATTTTGGTACTTGGTGAGCCGGCTGCAAACGATATAATAACGGAATGAAATTTTTTTCTTTTATTTTGACCCCTACCTGCAGCTCTAACTATACTTACAAGGTGAAAAAATTTGAAATAATGAACAGGTACGAATCACAAAATGGAAAAAAAGCTCAAATCATTTTTTTTTTCAATGAGACACACTGTATATTTTCAACTCTAGTGGAAGATATTACCCTATTGTTCACAAATGTGATTTGATAAACTAAGAACCTTGATTATTAACTCTAAAAAGATGATCCACCTCCATGTAAAGTGTTGAAGCCATATTTGGCCTTAGTTCATGGCTGGTTCGTAGGCGACGCTTTAATGAAACTCAGCAAAACTATGGCCGACTTTCTGGTATATAGATTCACTGTACTCTCGGAATTTGCTCGAGTCCACCTATCGGCAAGTTGCTGAACTATCTAAGAATATTCTTCCTGAAACAGCAAAATCACTAATTTCCATATTCAACAAAATAGTTCACCTTATCGCTCATAGATACCGCTACCTACTGGAGAATTTTTGTCTTCATCGCTCTCATAAGGATGGTTCATCTTGTTAGTGTAAATGACCAAAGCTAATTATTTAACGATTGAATTAAAAATGCAAGAAGCTGAGTTGATTAATTTGAAAAGACCAATCAGCCTCCAAAAGATTCTAAATTTAATTGTTAATTCTTAGTTCAGTTGAGTATAAATTCATCATGAGCTGCGGTCCTCGCTAATGGTACAAAATTATTGACCTATTGTGCAAAATAAAACAAAACAAGGCCTTTTATTGTTTGTTGAATAGGTCAAAATTTCAAAAACGACTATTATGCAAAACTTTTCAGAAAAAGTGGAGGCCTCATAACAAGTACAAAAATGTGTAGGTAACCAACCAACTTTGACAGGAATTTCAGGAAATAAATTCATTTGCTTCAATTTCCTTACCAAAAATGAACTATCTTATTGGGAATTTATAATAACGCATTTTTTCATCAATATTTCTGAGCTAGCGATCCAGAGATGGATTGCCAGCAAATAGGTGGAAAAATGGAGGCATCATGATTCACATACTCTAGATAGGTACAAGAATTCTTCTATACCCAGCATATCATTGACGAAAAATGTTTCTCTGTAAATAGTTTTCATATGTTTTTATGTAGTTTTTAGTCATCGATTTTTATTAATTTATTTATTTATGCCACAGCCCCAACAATAAAAATTATGAAGATAAATCGAAAACAAATCAAATCTAATTTAGACACAAAGGTTATTTCTCTCTCTACAATCATCACAATATTCTTGATACAATTTTTGAATAATCAACAGGAATAGCTGGACATTCCTGAACCAACATTTTTGTTTATTAAGTGTTTTCACTGACTACAAATTCTGTTTCTGATAGAATAATAGTTCATCTCATAAAGAAAGTCTTATTTTTCCACCCTTTGCTGTCAAGAACCCACTAGTTTAGTAATTTCAGAAAAAATCATGATTCCTGAGCTAGTGGTTTTATTATTGTTTTGTTCATTAATTGTAAATTAGTGTTTGTTCAGTTTTATAACTTATTGAAACCAAATCATCAGAGCTATTTGCTAGGTATACTTGAGAAAACAAATACATTTTCTTGGATATTTTATATTGAAAAATTGTCAAAATGGATTGACAATAAAAGTTCCAAAATATGTGGATTTAGAACAAACACAAATTTGCAAACATGAAAGTATAACTAATTAATGCTGGTTTCTTCATCATTTCCATGTTCAAAATTCTTTCTAATGCTTTCTTACTAAAAAAATGAATATTTCGTCTCAACAGTAGAAGGCATATAAAATGAATTCTTTGAGTATGAGAATTATAACAAATTAGGTTCATGAGAAACCACCATTATTTAGTTTTCTGCTTTGCCTTTGTTGAGTGACAGGCTCACTAGAATTTTCAATAGAATCTACCTATACTGTGTGGTGTTGAAGAGCCTATGAGGAAGTGAAAATTTGACTATGCACTCTCATAATTATGTTCTCATATTATAATAATTTTGTATCCACTGAGACTGAATTACTTTACATTAATGTACATTGTCCAAAATCTCTTTGTTAGTAAGGCTGTGATAAAAATGTTAGTTATCAATTTGATAGGGTATGTATTTAAGGTTATTCGAAACTACAAATCACTAGCTCAGAAATAATGTTAGGAAAGGGTATACACACATATATGAGAACAATATGAAAATAATCAAGAGAAAAGCAATATCTATACCTACAAAAGACTTTTCAGTTAAGCAAAATGAAAATCTAAAATGAAACATCACTCTCATCTGTAGTCCTGATGTTTTGTCAAAGATATTCAATAAATTGTACCTATACTGGGTACAGACCAGTACAGTTATAGATGACAGAGGTCTAGGTACCTATAAAAACTAAGGAAACAAATCAAAACTTTGAAATTTCTAATTAGATCCAACTTCCTGCCTATCAATTTTAAAAATCTTCTCTATTTATATTTTTAACCCATCAAGTATTTTCTTTCTAATTTTAATTTTGTGGTGATTTGAAATTGAAAAGAATGACTGATATTTAAACTTCAGCACTGTAGAATATAGATATAGGTATGCGTTAGCTAAATTATGAAACAAATTTTTATATATATATTTCAAAAGTTATTAATTCTATTATTTTATCCATGTATTTATTATGAAGATAATCATATTATGATGAAACTGTTCAAACATCTGGATGTCTGATGGATGCTTGGACAATGGACAGTCCCAATTTTGATTAGATCTCCTAGTTAGCCTTTATGTTTTATCAACTTCAATTGTACATATATAAATTCAATTAGTGGTGTGTTGCGAAAATTGTACATATAAAATAGTCTGTTATATGAAGATTGTAAATAAGATGATTTAACTTCCATCTGTATATAAATGATCAAATTTCATCCCTAATTATTTGGGGACAAATCTATAAACAATAAATAACTGAAACTCTTACTATACTTGTTTCTATTATTGTGGAAAAACTTCTCAAGTGTAGAAGTTTATAATGAATTCATATAAATATAGAAGATCAACTTACGAATTGTCTTTTGAACTGGAGCTTCAAATAATGAAATAAATTCTAGCTGGATCATAGAACAAGATTTTTTGGAAATGGTGGCGACTCAGACCACAGAACATGAATAAAGCTGGGGTGTCATCAGTCGGTGTGTACCTATTTATAGAGTGTCCATCATTCCTGAACGCTTTTTGGTGTGTGAAGTGAATTACTTACATTACAGATAGCCAACAATTTTCTCCTAAATGATAAACACTGTATCTACCTAACCCATCAGGAGCCTACCCCGGTTGCAACAAGGGTTTACCGATGCCAAGGGTTGATACTCTCCCCTCGTAAGGGTACCTGTTGTGTCTCCATTGAAACATAAAGGTGACTATTGAAACATGTTCTATAATATATCGCCTTCCATAATATAAAATGAAAGAAATATTCGAAATGAATTGAATATGATTCCTGAATAGGAATGAAAAACTTATCACTGGTTCGCTGGTTTCTGGTCTTCTTCTTCGATCTAAAACATACTCCGTATTATATTTCGTATTTGAAATATATATGGAAACTTTTTTCAAATTCTGTTGCTGAAACGCGACATATTCTATGAACGGAAAAATAGCCAACAATTTTCTCCTAAATGAGAAACACTGTATATACCTAACCCATCAGGCGCCTACCCCGGTTGCAACGAGGGTTTACCGATGCCAAGGGTTGATACTCTCCCCTCGTAAGGGTACCTGTTGTGTCTTCATTGAGACATAAAGGTGACTATTGAAAAATGTTCTATGATATATCGCCTTCCATAACAAATATAAAATTAATATAATTCGTGAATGGGAATGAGAAACTTATCACTGGTTCGCTGGTTTCTGGTTTGGTTTCCTCTTCGGTTTAATTTTTCCGTCGATTAATAATACGTCTCTTCTTCGATCTGAAACATACTTGGTATTATATCTCGAATTTGAAATATATATGAGAACTTTTTTCAAATTCTGTTGCTGAAACGCGACATATTCTATGAACGGAAAAATAGCCAACAATTTTCTCCTAAATGAGAAACACTGTATATACCTAACCCATCAGGCGCCTACCCCGGTTGCAACGAGGGTTTACCGATGCCAAGGGTTGATACTCTCCCCTCGTAAGGGTACCTGTTGTGTCTCCATTGAGACATAAAGGTGACTATTGAAAAATGTTCTATGATATATCGCCTTCCATAACAAATATAAAATTTGGAAGAAATCGTGAATAGGAATGAAAAACTTATCTCCGGTTCGCTGGTTTCTGGTCTGGTTTCCTCTTCGGTACAATTTTTTCGTCGATTAATAATACGTCGCTTCTTCGATCTGAAACATACTTGGTATTATATCTCGAATTTGAAATATATATGAAAACTTTTTTCAAATTCTGTTGCTGAAACGCGACATATTCTATGAACGGAAAAATAGCCAACAATTTTCTCCTAAATGAGAAACACTGTATATACCTAACCCATCAGGCGCCTACCCCGGTTGCAACGAGGGTTTACCGATGCCAAGGATTGATACTCTCCCCTCGTAAGGGTACCTGTTGTGTCTCCATTGAGACATAAAGGTGACTATTGAAAATGTTCTATGATATATCGCCTTCCATAACAGATATAAAATGAATATAATTCGTGAATAGGAATGAGAAACTTATCACTGGTTTCTGGTTTGGTTTCCTCTTCGGTTTAATTTTTCCGTCGATTAATAATACGTCGCTTCTTCGATCTGAAACATACTTGGTATTATATCTCGAATTTGAAATATATATGAAAACTTTCTTCAAATTCTGTTGCTGAAACGCGACATATTCTATGAACGGAAAAATAGCCAACGATTTTCTCCTAAATGAGAAACACTGTATATACCTAACCCATCAGGCGCCTACCCCGGTTGCAACGAGGGTTTACCGATGCCAAGGGTTGATACTCTCCCCTCGTAAGGGTACCTGTTGTGTCTCCATTGAGACATAAAGGTGACTATTGAAAATGTTCAATGATATATCGCCTTCCATAACAGATATAAAATGAATATAATTCGTGAATAGGAATGAGAAACTTATCACTGGTTCGCTGGTTCCTGGTCTGGTTTCCTCTTCGGTACAATTTTCCCGTCGATTAATAACACGTCGCTTCTTCGATCTGAAACATACTTGGTATTATATCTCGAATTCGAAATATAAACGAAAACTTTGTTCAAATTCCATTGCTGAAACGCGACATATTCTTTTATGACTCAAAATTGAATGGAACAGGTAGCAAACAATTTTCTACCAAATGAGAAACACTATATATATATAGGGTGAGTCAATGGTGTGTTCTCCTTCGATATTAGCCAAACCGTCAGGTATATAAAAAATATTCGAATATAACAGTTATAGATTTTTATGAGAGCTATTACCTGAAATTATTTTCATATCTATAGGATGTCCGAATTCCGAGATATCGGCTGATGATGGGTGTTTTTGAATGGGACACCCTGTATATTATGGTATTTTTAAATTTTTCCCGAAGAGCTGATTTCATCAATGATGTATCACACTTGGGGTCTAGCGGAAATGATTACAGAGATATAGGGTGTCGATTCTGAATCGAAAATTTTCAAATTTGGGATTTTTGTGTCAGAACTATTCATTATTATTGTCCCTATCTCAACGTTTGATTTACTATCTACTGAAATTTAACTGGAATAGATACAGGGTGATCAGAAATTCTGAATTATTTTGAACAGCCCTGTATTTGTTCCAATTGAGTGTCAGTAGATGGTGAATCAAAAGTTGAGATAGGGACATGTGAGCCGTTTAGACCAATAATAAATAGTTTCTACACAAAAATATCACAAAGTATAAAAATATAGATTTTGAACACCCTATATATCTTTATGAACATTTCAGCTAGTTCCCAAGGGCGCTACATTGATGAAATCAGCTCTTTAAGGGAGAATCTGACAATGAAATAATATACAGGGTGTCTCATGTGAAAACACCAATCATCAACCGATATCTTGGAATTCGAACACCCTCTATAGATATGAAAATAATTTTAGGTGTTGTATTCGAATTTGTTTTCATATATCTGACGATTTGGCTAATATAGAAGGAGAGAACACACTACTGACTCACCCTGTACATACACAACAAGCTGTCGTAACAATCACCGGATATTTTTGGCTACAGTGTCAGGTATTACATATGACATAGGTGAGTTTATATGGAACAATTTTTTCACAGGGGGTGAGAAGAAATTCAATACATACAATAAAAAAACGGTTCAATTTTGGTATAAAGGGTTGAATCGAATGATACCAGTTATTTTGTCAAACCAATAGAATCGACCGTACCCGACGAAATCTAATCTACGACTAGTGAATAGCTGGCTTGATTCATTATTCTGATGACTGATTATAGTTACGTCAGCTTTCTAAGCGATAAATTCCCGTAAAATTAAATTTCATGTATGACTAAACTTGATATGGAAAATAGTTTTACAGGGTATAAAAAGAAATGAAATATATTCACAATAAAAAAATGCAGAGTCATTTTTAGTATACAGAATGAGTCAATAATGCGTGTCCTCTTTATTCGATATCAACCAAACCGTCAGATATACCGGGTGACACTATGGTATATCCCCCTTTTCTCCTTTGGTTTTTTAAGCATTCATCTCTGAAATTTGGAACCTCGAATATGTTATACTAGAGGGAACTTTCTCACATTTTAGAAAATAGAAGATTTTTTCTCCTTCCGTTTTTCATGGAAATGACATTAACTTTCGATTTTCAAATGGAACACCCTGTATTTTTTCCATGTATACATTCTTCTTAACATTTCGAATTTATATAGATACGATGTGTTGTCATATTGACAATTTATGGTATACAAACAAATCAAACAATATTATTCATACATATATCATTCAAACTTCGATTCATATAGCTAAGATTCCATTAATACATTTCATGTGTTGAAGAATGGTATACAAATTTCGAATAGTTTCGTGTACCCATAGATAAATTTCTACAAAATGGCGAATGTTTTTGCAACTCATTTCCATACCTATTTCTAGTACCTCTGTATAAGTTAACAACCCGAATAATTCCATCCTGAATAAATACGAAATTTTATAATATTTGTGTTGACTCATAACAAAATTGCGAATATTTTCGCAACTTGTTATTTTAATATCCATCTAGATCCCATGTATAAAAAGGTGAAGAAAGCGAATTTCAAATATCGTTATATGGAAATATACCGAAGCAAAATACCAACCACATGATGAATGCCTCCGTATACATATATATTATTCAAAAACACTTACCATCTTGAAAAAATTCAACTTTCACACACTCAAATGAAAATACACTAATCACTAAACCGAATATGAATTCCAATTTTCCACTTTTAAATACTTCGAGTTCTTTTTTTATGGTCACTTGAATCCATACCGCACGCGATGAAGTCTAGAACGAGACTGCTGATTGGTTTGATTCATATCATTCAAATGACTAATTAGTTACGTAGTCCTTTCAACCGATCAATTCCCGAACGAGTATGACTAATTCCGATATCGATAGTAGATATACGGGGTGGGGTGAACAGAAATTTAAAGATATTTTCGTTCATTTTCTTATCTATACGAGTTGTCTTCGAAATGAGTTGATATATTCAGAAAATCAATAAAAAACAGGATAACGAATATTCCCATATGATATCAGACTAATTAACGAGAAATTTGAGCTTGAAAATTGAATGAAAATCGTAAAAAAAAAGACAAATACGCCACCTCAAGGCAATTTAAATGATTGAACTTCGCGTGAATGTGCCTTCTGCACGAAAATTTGTACAGAGGTGACGTCAGAATTGCTACAGTGTACAGTGTTAGAACTTTGGGTGGAAAAGAGTCTCACCCTGGATTTTA